GGCTCTGTGCCAAACTAGGACAAGAGCGTAACCGATGTGTGCAAACACACGTTACTGCATACTCGGCCCTTTCTCGACCTACTCCATACGAGTACTGTGCCCCGTTCACACAGAGTTGACATGTCTTGCATATGAACCAGGGGCCTGGGCCGTTCCTGCAACATTCATTCCATTGCTCCTCCTTCGTCGGTTTCTTCGTCTTCCATTCTTCATTGGCAAAGGCAACATCCTCGATCCCGTTTTACTTCATAATACAGCCATAAGCACAGCGCGGATGGGGAAGAAAAAGGGGAGTGGGACCTCTTGCCCCTCTGACGCTATGCCGATGAATGCAATGCCGATGAATGCAACTCACAAAATCACTTCGTGTTACACTGTGACAAGACGGTCCAAATTGTGCAATACTATTTCCCAGAAAGATCTCACCGCTCCCTATTTATTTGAAATGCAATCGCAGGGAGTAGTACTTTTTTTCCCTCTGAAAGTGTTATGTCGCATGATTAGGGAAATGAGACTCATGCGGAGGAAAGTTACAATAATTTATTTTATTAGTTGGGTTCAAATTTCTAAATAAAAAAATACAAATATATCGCGATCATAGCCCATGCATTTGATGTAGTTTGAAATTTGTCTTTCATGTTTATTTCGCAATTTTCCCCACAACTTCACTTTCGGATGCAGTTTGTTTCGCATAAAAAGGCAGGATGCAGAGAACCTATATTTAAAAAAAGACTGAAAATCAGTGGCTAGTATTTTTTTGTTGTTGTTGCAGATCAGGTCACATTTAGCACTCTTAGGCATCTTGCTTTCTAAATTTCGAAGGAAATTTTTTTTCCCCTTAGGTTGAAAAGTTCAATGGAGTAATCAATATCAGCAAATTGACAGGACTGCTAATTGAGGTGCTTGATCTATAGAATATGAATTGGTGAATAAACCTTGTCTTGTTTTCTTACAGATTCTAAGCAAGTATGACCCAGATCTTGCTGCAGAAGTATTGGAATGGATCAGGGCTGTGACTGGGGAGAATATCAATGTTTCTGGAGACCCAGACAACTTTTTTGAACTCCTTAGGAATGGGACTCTACTTTGCAGGTTTGTTATGTGTGCCACTTTCTGAGCTGTAGAGATATTCATTCTTTTTATCCTCATAAAAAAAAACCTGCACCCATCTTATTTTATAATTGTAGTAAAATGATGCTGCTTGATTAAGCAACATCTCATTTTTTGTGAATATTTGTTGATCCAGCTTATATTCATAATACAGCATCTGTAATGAAGCACTTGACAGAAATGAGCCACACCTCTTTTAAAAGTAGAACTCAGTTTGCTTGGAATTTTTTTCTAGAATTACTGAAGTAGTTCCCGCAAGCTGTTAAATAGCTAATAATTTTTCTGCAATATTTTCCAAATTCCATGTATGGGGCATATGTGTTTACAGTGTCCTTTGAGGTGGGGGACTTGATTATTTAAATTGTGATTTTTTCCCCATCAGGTTGGCCAACACAATGAAACCAGGCACAGTAAAGAAGATCAATACCAGCCAGATGGCATTCAAGTGCATGGAAAACATCAATGAATTCCTTGAATCAGCTCGTCAGATGGGAGTCCCAAGCCAGGAACTTTTCCAGACCGTGGACCTGTGGGAGAAGCAGAACCTGAATGCTGTTGTCACCTGTCTGCAGAGCTTGGGTCGTAAGGCACACAACTTCAACCAGCCTTGCATTGGACCCAAGGAGGCTGAGAAGAATGTGCGCCAATTTTCTGATGAGCAGCTGCGTGCCAGCGAAGGTGT